TGTTTCATGCAAACCTTCACTCGATCCTCACCATACTGCCAAAACTTAAGGATCTTACTCCCCATTTTACATGTGAGAAAACTGAGGCTCAGAGATAATGTGATTTGCCCATGGTGCAGAATGGAAGAGGATGAACAGCAGAGCAGAGATCGCAAGCCTCCGTTTGCAGACTCCTCTTCCCACACCCTGCTGCACCTGACTCTGACTCTAAGATACAAGTGAGGGAGAGAAGTAGGTCCATGAGCACTGGGAGGTGGCCATAGAATATTTTACCTGGAATCCTTACTGGGTTCTTTGCTCCCCACGATCACTCCCAACCAGGTGTAAAAGGTCCAAAGTTCTTGTTTCCATCCAGACTGCCTGCTTGTTTAAGCAGGCAGATGGAGGGCAGACAAGACACTTAGCTGAGAGAGCACAGAGACCAGTCTGGGCTCAGAAAGTCCTCAACCATATGCCCCAGAGGAGGCCAGGGGCCTCTGCCTCAGCTGGAGAGTGGGCCACACTCCCAGTGTACGCAGCCAATTCATTCAGGCCTCGGCCACCCACACAGCCCTGCCTGCCCAGATCCCCTCTGAGAGGAGCATCCATTAGCAAACCTCCTCCCTTCAGTTTGGCCTCCATCCCCTGCTGTCCAAGGGTAAGTCAGGGAACCCCCAACTCCCAGCCCCTTGAGCCTCCGATTGCTGTCTAGGGGCTTCTTGTGTTTCCTCCTCTGGGACAACCCAAGGAGAGAAACACAAGGCAGAAAAGCCAGTGGCCGTTGTTACAGAAAACACATCCCTGTTAACAACACCTCTTCAGTACAGGCCTAGAATTTTCCACAACACCAATAGGTTCATTTTTGAAGGAAGCAGCTTCTTTGACATTCACTCCGCCAACTTCACATCCCTCTGAGCCTCTGGTTTCACCCACCTCCTTCTGACACCCTGCAGGTCATCACCGAGGCCAGGAGGGAAGTGATGGGCCCTCCCTCAGTCCCATTTTCTCATCTGTAAAATGAACAGGGAGGAGCATCAAAAGAGATCGAGTGGGGCCCACTCAGGTGATTTAAAAGAAAAAATGTGCTTTTGTTTTTGGCAGACATACATCATTTTGAGGGGGAGGTGTTTATTTGTATTTCAGGCAGCCTTCTGGAGAGAGCAAGAATCTGTGAATGACTTAATACAAACCCAAATAGACATCCAAACTCCAGAAGGAAAGTTCTTCTGAAATACAAGGTACTGCACCTACGCACCCCAATCATTCACTTCATATGCAAATGCTCCTTCACAAGTACTACCACACCAGAGTCAATTAACACTTGCACTTCTACATATGGCCTTCAATTATGCTCATCAGAATAATCACTTGCTGCAATCATCGTAAGTTCAATGGTTTCCCAGGGATGGAACTCTCAAAGCATCAAGGTGCTTTGAAAGTCACTGCTTGAATGTGGCACGTGTTCAATCTCATAGTCTTGTTTCCCAGACCTCTTGACCACATACCCATTTCATGACCTGAGAAAATTACATAAAGAGGATGGAAAATCATTTGCCCCGGGACAGGGAAGCATGGGACTAAGGGAGTCTAGTGAGGTAGATTAACTAACCTTGTTTCTTCTACCTGATCTTCCTCCAGGGAGCAGCAACCCCACCCTGTCCCACCTGCAGCAATGGTCCCATCTCTTTCTGGTTTTGCTCCAGCCTTGGCTGGTTAAGCAGAGCTAACAGATTCCCAGATCTCTCTTCTGCAGGATGATGGGCTAGTCCCGAGGGTCCAGCAGAAATAAAGTCCACTGTGGGAGGCCACATGACGTATGGGACAAACCCCAGGCTGAGGAGTCAGGGCAGATGTGGTTTGAACCCAACTCTGCCACCTCCTAGCTGTATGTCTTCTGGCAAATTATTTCCTCTGGAGTCTTGGGAGTTTCTTCTCCTAAAACAGGGGTCATAACAGCTACCTTTCAGAGCTGTCAAAACATTGCTGATGGGAGTAGAAGCTGGTAAATCTTTTCAGAAGGCAGTTGAGCAATATGTTTTAAAGTTCCTAAAAATGTTCATACTCTTGGACTAAGCAATTAAGCTTCTAGAAGGTTATCTTTAAAAAGTACTCATGGGCTGGGCACAATGGCTCATGCCTGTAATCCCAGCACTTTGGGAGGCCGAGGTGGGTGGATCATGAGGTCAGGAGATCAAGACCATCCTGGCTAACACAGTGAAATCCTGTCTCTACTAAAAATACAAAAAAAAATTAGTTGGGCGTGGTGGTGGGTGCCTGTAGTCCCAGCTACTTGGGAGGCTGAGGCAGGAGAATGGTGTGAACCCGGGAGGTGGAGCTTGCAGTGAGCTGAGATCATGCCATTGCACTCCAGCCTGGGCAACAGAGAGAGACTCTGTCTCAAAAAAAGTACTCATGGATATACTTATAGATTTAGTTTTTTATCACTGTTTATTATGGTGAAAATTAAAAGTAACCTAAGTAGCCAACATTAGGAAGTTGATTTTTAAAATACTTTATATATAGCATGAAACAAAACTAATAAGGTATTTTTAATAACACATTTTTCAAAAATTATGATTTCACTTTGTAAAAACAATGTACATATTAGAAGTATATACAAGAATTATTAATATTTAGCATTGGATGATAAAATGACAGTTGATTTTCTTTCTTCCTTTTTTATTATTATATTTTCTAAACTTGGCCTAAAATTTCTTAAATGTCTCTCTAGCAACTTACTAATTTCTGCTTTTTAAAATGGTTATGTATGAACATATCACATCGCCCCAAGAATACAAATTCCTTGAACACAGATTCTAAGTCTGATTTATCTTCATAAACTCTCCATGATATTAGCTTAGTGCCTTGAATAATTACAATTACCATTTATTGAATGTTTGCCGTGTGGCAGGCATTGCGCTAAATTGTATCTCTTAATATAGTAAAATTGAATAAATGTGGAAAGGGAGAGGGAAGAAGAATAAGCAGAAAGAAGTGAATGAGTAAATTCTCAGCAATCTGAAATAAGTTGGCAGCTATCGCACTTGGAAGTGACCAGCTCATTTTTAGAGTCTCTACTGACCACCAGACCATACCAATCTGCTAGACCATCTCTTCTAACAGAAAGGGAAAATGTCAGGAGGAGGAGGACCACACTATGATCCTGGATTTGAGAAAGCCACACTTTGGAGGATAAGATCTCATAAGGACAACCTGGTGTAACTTTTGAGAATTTTCTTACCAGAGTCAAGAAAACCAATTTAACATGACAATGATCTATTAATGAAACACTTTCGACTTTAGCAACCTTTAATTCTTTTCTACAAGCACTCCCTTAGCACCCACCAACACCATTTGAGAGAGAAATATACATAAGCAGTCTCACCCTTAAGGAATTTCTCATGCAATGAGGACTACCAACAGGTGCCTAAATAACTGATTCAAGGCAGGGTGTGAGCTCCAACAGAGAATTCCGAGACTGGAGTGGGTGCCAAGGGAGAAATTCTTTCTGATGGGGATGGACAGTGGAAGAGGTGGAAAGTGAGAGCTGGGATCTGAAGCATAGACAAGATTTCTCAATGCTGTGCTGGGGGAATGGCATTCCTGCCTGCGGGAACAGCCTAGGCAAAGGCTCAGAGGGGTGGGATTTGGTACGTTTGGAGAAGGGCAAGTGTTCAGTCCATGCCCCAGAAACCTTGGGTTACTTCATTAAGAACAAAAGTGGCCCTCAGATGAGCTCCGTTCCTTGGTGTCTTCTTGGCCCTGGTACTTCCCTGATACACATCCAAGCAGACACAGCCCACCAAAAGCAAAATAATCTACCCCCTCGTTTTCAAAGGCTTTGAGGATCAGTTCAGATTAAGACCACAGTAACTTGAGTACTTCCAAAAGTAGGAATCAGAGTGGCTCCTGCCTCTGTCCTGCTGTTCTCCAGAGGCTGAAGTCCCAAGGAGCAGGCCTCCAGGGCTCTACCTGGGACTTGAGTTCTACTCACCTCCAAGGAAGATGTGGAGGCAATCCCTGACAAGTTTCAAAACAGCCACGGCATGGGGCGGAAGGTATCAAGGACCCACCTCTTCAAATGCTAGGCTTCCAGAGGGTCAACCCTGTGGCCCTGCTGCTCCCTGAGGGTCCCCACAACCCCCTGTGGTCCTCCTCCTGGTGATGGGTTTTGGGGGAAAGGAAACAGGAGCCACTGGGAGTCCCAAGGGCAGGAGAGGAAAACACCACCTGCAGCTCAGAGACATCACAGCTTTTTCTCCAATACTTTCGGTAGCATGACATATGATCCCCCCTCCCTGCGGCCTCTCTCTCTGAGACTGAATTGGCCTCTTTTTCTGCTTTATTTTTCTGAATCTCTCTGTTCTCTTCTCTCTCTTCATGTGTCCCTTTTCCTTTGTTTCAACTTTTATAGAAACTATTGTTCAATCTCAATCTCTCTCTCTCTCTCTGAATTCCCCGGTCTCTGCCTCTCTCAGCCTCTCCTCTCTTGTTTCAGTCCCTGTCTCCACGTCTCTGTCACTCTACTAGTCTGTCTTGACGTCCGTCTCTATCTCTGGGGTCTAGGTGTTTCTATCAGCGTCTCCGTGTCTGGATGTTCCTACCGCTCTGTGTGTCTCTATCATGTCCACATCTCCCTGTCGCTTTCTGTCTCCCTCTCTCGGCACTCCTATCTTCATCTCTCCATCGCAGCGTCTCCAGCCCTATTTCCACCCCTCCTGTCCCCCGGCCTGCGTTATTAAAATCAGCCAGGAAGCTGAGCGGTTCGGGGAGGTGTGATGCTGAAAACCAGCTTCCGCGCGACGCCGGGTCGGAGCCCGCGAGGAGTGCGGGGGAGACAGCCCAGGGTGCGGTTTCTGTCCCGACCCAGTCGCCGCTCCCGAGGACTCCCGCCCGGCGAGCACCCTCCGGCCCCAGCCCAACCCCTGAGCTCCCCCTGCCCGCTTAGAAAGGAGCTCTGGCCGCCACCGGAGAGGGCGTTTGTCCGAGCCAGGAGTCAGGGAGGGGTGGAAAGTTCTCACCGATGGTGAAGCTGTAGCCATCGATGCTGAAAGTGGCGCTCCGGCATTTTTTGAAGCCCTCCTTCCTGTTGCTGGCGTCCGTCATGGCTCGGCCGGCCGGACAGGGACCTCGCAGCTCAACCAGCGGCGTCCGCGGTCCCCTCCTCCACCACGGCGGACTGAGCAGCCCGGGGCTCGGCGGCGAATCCTGCCCCGGCCGCGCCGCGCTGTCACCCTCAGCCCCGCCGCGCGCTGGCAGCTGAGCGCCTGGAGACAAGCGCGGGGACCCAACGTCAACAGCTAAAGGGCTAGGAGCTCGGCGGAGGCAGGAGCCGTCGCGACTGTCCCATCTCCAAGCTCCAGAGGCGGCAAGAGGAGTGTCAGGAAGGGAGGACGCGCGCCCGAGCGCGTGGACGGGGCTGACGGGTGGGCGCGGAGGTCCCTGCCTGGCCACGCTACTTTCTGCCAGCCGCGGGGTCCGCGCGCCCCAGGCACGTCTGTTTTCCACTTCAGCTTCTCCTTCCGTCTCTGGTGGCTGGGGGGATTTGGGGACCCAAGGGAATGGCTGGATTGGCGTCGTGCGTCTTCTGGATATGTTTTCTCTGGCAGACCGGGGAGCTTCCAGAAAACACATCAACAGATGGAAAAGCAAACCCCTTAGCCATCAGATGTTGCCGAAGTTTACTCCAAACAAGGAAGTCGGGAAAATCGCCACGCCCACTTCCTCCCAGCCACTGTCCCCAGCACTGACCTGGAGCCCCGATAGTGTTCCTTCTCCACTGTCCCTCCCAGGAAGGTAATTGAAAGTCACCCGAGGCTCTCTGATGTGAAATGTAGAATCGAATTAGAACTCGCCCCTTACCATCCATTCCAAATAGCTTGTCCTGACCTTTCGAATTTGGGTTTGCCCAATGTGATAGACTCCTGGAATTTGCTGATGTGGAAGATATCTACCAATCCCATAGTTGACGCTCTTATTACAGGAGAGGAAACTGAGGCTGGGTGGGGCTTGAGGAAAGTGCTACACAAGGAAGCGGTGGACTTAGGAGGCAGAAATTTCACTTTATGACGATGCCACGTTGGCCATTGGCCTTTCCAGTGCCTGAAATGACCGAGTTAGGCAAGGCTTATACTGGGAAAATTATTCCCACCGATCAGCAAGCAATTATTGAGGATTTACAGTTGCAGTGCTGTTAGGGGCTGCGGATGCCCATGGGAAAAGAGACCAGAGCTGAGTCCCACAGAAGAGTCCGCGGTATAACAATGTGAAATAAGGGTCCTGTGCTCAAGCTATTGTGAGACTACAATTAATTTAGCCTCATTTTTGTGATGCAATTTGACACACTTAACAAACATTTGCCAATAATAAGAATTAACCAGGTATATTCCTAATTGATTCCAGTTGAGTTTAGAGGGTAATGTCTCCACATATCTTCAGAATCTAATGAAGATTAGAAACCTTGTCCCAAAAAAAGCACACAGACACACATGTACCGTATTCTACATACAATTTCAGGGGGCCCATTAAAACCCCCAAGCCTACTGGAACCTAGGTTAATGTATGTCGCCAGAATTTAATCTTTTTCAATTCACCATGTATTTTTAAAGAAATTGAACTGTGTCAGAGTGTAGTTGACACTTCAGTTGTAAATTCTCTCAGGGAAGACCTAGAACCATATTCACATGGTCTGGTTAGGTTGTAGCAAGATTAATTAATCATAAAGGCAACAAACAGTGTCACGAACCTCATGCCACATAGAATGGCATATTTCAGCATGTAGTCAGGGGTGTTTCAAAATCATCATGTAGTCCCTGAGACTGGAATACCCACGCCTGGAACCTGTTACAACATGGAGGCATGAAAAGGGCTCTGCTCACAGATAGACCTGGGTCTGAAAGCTGGCTCCACCACTTACCAGCTACATGGCCGTCTGACCTCCCTGAATCTTACTTTCCTTCTCTGACTATGAGGATTAAGTAGGAGTAAGGGCATAAAACCTAGGCACACAATACGCATCCAATTATTGCAATCACTGCTGACTCCCAGATTTTATTACATAGACTCCATGGAAAATTCTTCTCTGTGACAATAATGTATTTTAGTTATTGTTGCCACCATTAATTTTATGGGTGAAGAGAATTTTTATATGTAACATTTTATATATACTACATGTAATATAATGTGAGCTTGGTTTTTTGTTTGTTTGTGTTTGAGACAGTGTCTCACTCTGCTGCCCAGGCTGGAGTGCAGTGGTGCAATCATGGCTCACTGGCTTCGATCTCCTGGGCTCAAGTGATCCTCCCACTGCAGCCTCCAAAGTAGCGGGCTCTATAGATACACGCCACCACACCCGGCTGCTTAAAAAAAAAAAAAAATTGTAGAGGCAAGGTCTCACTATGTTGCCTAGGCTTGTCTTGAACTCCTGAGCTGAAGTCATCCTTTGCCTCCATCTTCCAAAATGTTGGGATTACAAGAATGAGACACATGCCTGACCTTAATATTATGCATTTTTTAATATAGTAACCACCAAAGGTTTCTTATAGTTCCCCTTTCCCTGTATTTCTCTCATCTTACCAAGCTTCTAAGTGAACAACATGTCTTTTTTTGTGCCAAAATAAGTCCTCAGCTGAGAGCCCTAAGTCTCCTGTAGTAAATTATCTAAAAAAGAAAAAAAAGAAAGAAAAAGTCTATTGAAATGGAATTTTTCCTTGCGTAAGTGAGTGAAATTAAAACTTAGTATTTAATCATCTTAACAGAAAAGCTTTTTGAAATATAACCTATAAAAATAATAAAAATGCAATCATTTCTCTGTCCCCTAAAGTCTGGTAAAAATAACTTGCCTGAATAATTAGAACTGTTTTTAAACTGCTTCTCCCCAGAATCATTATCTCTCTCCCTGGTTTTAGAGATTGTACACCTACAGAACCACTAAAATGCACTGCTTCAAGTGCAAACTCTTAAAGCAGCCTTTTCAGTCTTTGCGTTCTCACACCAAACCAAGTGAAGTTGTATGCTACCATTACATAAGTCAAGAAAGAATGAGTTCAAGACTGAGATCAAAAGAAGCATGCTTTTGTTTGCTCTTTCAGAAATGCTCACTCAATAAAGCCTAGGAAGTAAGAAAACTAAACCAAGACAGACAAGCAGATGTGTCAATCATCTGCTTTGGTAGTTGGAGCAGGATTTGACAAGTTAATGTCTGCAGCTGAAATCTGGCCCATCACCTGTTTTTGTGGCATCTGCAAACTAAAAACAGCTTTTATATTTTTAAGTGATTGTAAACAATCAAAAGAAGAATAATATTCCATGACACATTAAAACTACATGAAACTTGAATTTTAGTATCCACAAGTAAAGTTTCATTGGAACATAGCTATGCTCATTTATTTCCATATTCTCTCTGGCCGCTTTCACACTACAAAGCCATTGTTGAGTTGCTGTTCCTGGGACCATATGGCTCGCAAAGCCAAAAATATTTACTATCTGGCCCTTTACATAAAATGCTTATTGACTCCTAAAATTATAGTAAGTATACTTTACATCTGTCAGGGTTTGGGTAACTTCTAGTTTTATTATATTTACTTTAAAATTTGGGTTTGGAGAGAAATTGATCTTTTTTAACTACTGGAATGGATTCTAACATGGAAGAATTAAGAGTACATTCTAACAAAGAAGGGAAACAGGGAGGGAAGAAGGTCCCTAATAATTGTTTGATCCAGTCAATAGCTAAGACTAATTAGGTTAAGATTAATTTCCTCCAAGAAGTAATGTGTGATCCTGTCTTCACTGCAAGAAATAGAGGAAGAGCTGAACTCATTACCTACATTAGTTCATAGGATCAAATAATGTCCTTCAAATATAACAACTGTATATGACAAAATATAAAAAAGAATCTGGCAGGATGCTTCTCTGAATCTAGTGCTAATCTCAAGTCTTTTGATTTGCTCTGTGAATCTGATGGTGGATTCTACTACATGTTTCTATACAAGAGAAAGGATATTAATAGCAAGTTCTTGTTGCTCATTGGTTTTTCACTTTTAAAGTTCTAGAAAAATATAAGACAACATATATAGAATGTATCAAAAAGTATAGTTTCTAAGAAAACATCTTTTTATTTTTCTTACGAGAGAGAAGACAGGTCCTCAGCATCTCACTAATGCATTTCAACCATTCTCAGGTAGGAAGCTACCTACTGTTTGGAATTCTCCCAACAGCCAATGGACCAAGAATTGTAGACCCAAGTTGCCCCAGTAAGAGCATCATGCACACACCTCACAGACACCTATCCAGCTGTCTGACAACCATTCCAAATTAAAAAGGGCCTCCTTCCATTCATATAATCATTGGCTACAGGCAAGGAAGTTTCTGAACTGCAACCTTGTTCCTTTGGCTGTAATTGATAGAACCCAAACTGGGCTGATGAATACCATTTCTGGGAATAGGAATTGTCAGAGGTAAAGAAAAAGTCCCAGTTCATTCCAGGCCCAGTTCCAGCTGGCATCTGAAAATCAGCTCCTCTGAAATTGCGTAAGCTACCCTACTACCCTTATACTATACAGTAGTCCCTTTTTGTAAGTGACCCAATGTGAGTTGCTATTGCTTGAAACCAAGAGTTCTAGCTAGTCTACCAAACTGACTCCCTTCAAGAAGGGAAGCAGAGGAGGAAGAAATGAACAGAGAAAAGAAGGAATTAAACTAACATTTACTGAGTGCCAACTATATACTAGGCATTGTGCTAACCAAGAAACAGTCCCTGCCTTTTAGAATTTTATAGGAAGAGTAAATCTCAGAATAGTCCCTGGAACTGGGTGTCAGAATGAGAAAACAGTTACAGAAAGTCGGTGTTTCTGGATGCAGTTCCTCTTCAGCTGTCACCAGTACCCTCCTCTGTTTCATTTTACTTCTACCTTATTGCTTCCCTACAGTCCTTTTTTTTTTCTCAAATAAATTAGATCCAGGAATGGCAGAGACAATCTAATTAAATGGGAAAGATTAAAAGCAGTGTGCTTAAACACTTGAGGGCCCAAAAAAGGTGCCAAAAACATACCCAGAAGGCCCTGATGGAAGTTGCCGAATTCTATTTCCACAAGGAGACAATTTTTTTCTTTGGCCCCCTGTTCATTCTTCAGCTTTTTTTGAGTCTACATATTATTTATGCATCTGTGAAAGTGACTATTCTTAAGTACTTGCCTTTAGTGTTTCAGAAAATAATAGCTGAGGGCCGCCAACGATTTCCCCATAACATTATGTAGCAAATTAGAGTAAATTAAATTATTGTTTTGCATTAAGAGTTTGGGGAGAATCTCATCATGGCCTTTGAAGTTAGGAGTTAGAAGTGGAGACTTTCTGCAGTGGGGGTGAGGGAGATCAGAACAACTATTTTTAATTTCTTTTGCTTAATCCAGACTACCAAGCCTGGAATTTTCTTCCCCCTCAGCCAACCAGGTTTGCCTAGAGACCTCCCTCCTCACCCTTCAGGTATCTGCTAATCTCCCAGGTCCTCCAGAAAGCATTTTCTGCCTGACATTCCTCAGGGGAGGTAACCAACCCACTTGAAGCCTCCCCTGGATCCCATTCTGTGTCCCCATCATAAAATCATCACACTGCACTCATACTACCTGTTTGCCTGCCCATCTCCTCATAAGGATATGGTCTGCAGGTAGCAGGGATGGGTCTTCCATCCTCAGCCCCAGCATGGTGTCTGGCACAGAGTAGGCCTTCGCTAAAACATTTATGAATTACAAAGTAAATAAAGACGTATAATGCAAGGTTGTGTGGCCAGGAGATGATAGGATTGGGGTAGGACAGCCAGCCCCATTAGTCATTCCCTCTCTCCACTCATCCTCTTTCTCTGTGATGAGCTTTGGAGCAAGTTCAAAACACGGCTCTGTAGCAAAGAGGTTAGTAACTTTTAAAATTAATAAAATGAAACAAAAAGCTCCTCTACTTTGCTAAATGAAACAAAAAGCTCCTCTACTTGCTAGCCGTGTGATCTGGGGAAAATACTTAGCCTCTCTGAGTCTTAGTTTTTTCTTTTGTAAAATGGACATATAATACCTATCTCATAAGAAATGTGTGAGTTATAATAATGTATGTAAAAGACTTGTCCTGGATGCAACCCAGAGTAAGCATTCCATTTTACTTATTATTATTATATCATCTATATTATTACAACATGACGATGTTATTATTTTTAACATCGTCATCATCACTAGCATACTAG